AGAGCGCCATTTTTAGAGAGTTTTTTTAAGTCATTGAACTTTCGATCTCTTTTTTTCCCTTAACAAGTAAGAGTTTAAAAAAATGGCTCTCGTAGACACTACATTCTGACATGCTTTTTCAAACAAACAAAAAAAGTATTAAATGTATAGACGGAAGATCACAGAGAATTTTGGAGACGAAATTAGCTATTTTTTGACCTTTGTTTGGCCAATATCTCCGTCAAGCGTCATGATACAGGACTGAAAATTTTACCATAGCAATCTCACATCAGTCTCAACATATCCTGAAAATTTCATGCTATTCGAACATTCCTGACTTGAGATCGATTTTTGAGGAGTGTCTTAACATATCATCACTAACAAACAATTAATTTTTCCATCTTGCTAAGCCATAAAAATGAGAAGAAGTAGAAATTATTGGTCTTACGATAGATCGAATAAACTACATGTTCATATTATACTTATTGATACTCATATTTCGAAAAAATGATATGTAGATATTTATTGAATCAATTCGTTGACATAATTTATTTGATGGAAAACGATTAATACCATGACATTTTCATATTGTTGAATTGATTTGTTTTTCATTAGTTAAACAATTACAAAAATAATCTAAACATTTTGAACTTGATGTTGAAATAAAATTTGTATTTATTATTACAGAAATATGATTTATAAGACTAATTTGAATTGAAATAATGACATTTAATAAGTATGTTAGAAGAAATATTATAATTATCATTGTTAACATTAAATTGTGAAGTTTCATAGAAACAATTTGTTTCCCTTTGCTGAGAGAATATTTACTTGTTGAATTTTTTTTTGATCGTCTAACAGTTGGAAAATATACACGTTAAACGTTTATTTTATTAGGCAAAGAAAATTCTAACAAAAAAAAACGAACTATTAGTTTAATTGAAATGATTATTCAAGAGAAAATATATTCCTCACCACACAAACAACCTATAAGCAAACATTAATTGCCTTGATACAATAGGTTACAAGTTCAAAGATATATCATATCTGATTTGAGAGTATTGCCAACGAATAAATAGACACGTTAGACAGAAGAATTAAAACTGATTAAATTTTTCAATATCTAAGATACTTGGAATAACTAACAAGATCTTGTCACTTGAAGTGATTCTAAATTTAGTAAGAAAAGAAGACGATTCTATTAAATTAGTACCGCAAAAAAAAATCTACTGAAGTTTTCATCAAGTTATATTTCATAAGAAAAAAAATGAAAAAAAGGTTTTCGAAGAAGCTATTTACTGCCAAAAATTCAGAACTACAGCAAGATCTCTCTCTCAGTGAACATTCTGTTATACTGAGAATTCTTCGGTCCGCTTGAGCATATTTTTCTGGTTCCGATTTTATGTATTAACCTTGTCAATAAGAGCATCAATATAGGGCATTATTTGCTTAAATTATATAATGGAAATTGTGAAGATGATTATGATGAATTTGCTTGTGCTTCATGATTTAATTCAAAGAAAACATAAAAGAGAAAAAAAAAGAAAAAGAATTAACAGACAGTTTTCATTATTATGTCTAGTCAACCATTATCTATTAGACATGACATATTGGGAATGATCTTAATTCAGAATAAAACAATAAAGTTAAAAAATATAAATAACATAATTTGTCACATCGTGAAATTTTAAGTGCCATCAATACTGTATCAAACATTCTTTAACGAAAACTTTATTATATTATTGATTATGAACTCAAATTTATAACTTTTTTAAATAGGATCTTGAGGTGATGTCAGAAAATGCTTTAATCAGAAATATGTTAAGTATTAGAAACATTAACAAAACTTTCGTCGATCATCAGACAGAGATTTTATTGTATGTGTCAGCTTTTGAACAAAGCATTGGATGCGCTAATATCAGAGTGTATCAAAAGAAAAAATCTAAAGGGAAGATAAAAAACGATTATTAAATAGAAAGGAAAGGAATAGAAATGGAAGAAAACATATAATAGAATGGAAAATTACAAAAATACAATAAGAAGAGAAGATAATCCCAATATAAAAGATAATGTCCAAAAATTACAGATGACAAGAACTGTTGATGTTCCTAAAACCTTCCACTTTAATCATTGAATTTTATGAATCATTATTTCAAACGATTAAACAAAATATCAACGTTTCTTGATGATGCTGACGGTGTTTTATTCAGATTTTATTTACTAATTTCAAAAGAATAAAAACAATGAATGTTGTGATACTGTCTTTTACAGATTCTAGTATATTTTCTAATGTATTTCAATACATAGTTAATCATTGAGAAGCAATCGAAAGAATCGTAGATGTGCATAAAAAGAAGAGGAAAAAGGAAATTAATTATATATACAGAACTGCTTAAAATGATAAGAACATGGTAATTTTGATTTTTTCTCTGATGTCAAATGCCTAAATAAAAAGTCAATAGTAGTTTGCATAAGTAATAAAGTTCTCTATCATCAAATGTACCATATATCAAGGTTTGAGGAAAAATTTTCTATAAAACTGAACACCGTAGTTTTCAAGTTCCAGAACACATTATGAATGTTCGTTTTCAACAGCTCTATCTAAAAGAGCACAAAGTTGTAAAACAAAATGAGAAGTCATGGCGTTTTTTTTGCTACATTCTCTTTCAAAATTCCAATTATCATAAAAAATTTTAAAAAATGCATTTTTTAGCACTTCTTTAATAAATTCTCCTTTCCTGTCATATTTTTTTGTGATTTTTGTAATTTTGTAAGGAAGAATAGTAAAAATAGCAATGATTGCTCGTTTTGTTCAGAATTTTGTGCTCTTTTAGATAAGACTGTTTAAAAAAAAGAAACTTCCATAACGTGTTCCAGGATCTAAAAACTACCGTATTCAGTTTTTTTTTAGAAAACTTTTCCATAAATCTTGATATATGGCATATTTGATAGAGGATTTTATTGGCTATTTGAATCACTATTTATTTTTTAGTTAGATACTCGGCATCACACAAGAAATCAAAATTATTTTGTATTTATAATTTTAAGCAATACTGAGCCAATGTGAAAGCCTTTGGAAAAATGTCCATATTTATCTCTCAACAATAGAACATTGATTTGAATGGAATTATTCAAGAATAAAATCTGGAGAGTATTGATATTAAAACAAAAACTTTCCAATCTGATTTATTTATGCTGTGTGAAAGTATTCTTTAGACTGATGCTAAGTGAACTGTGCAACATCTCAAAATATTTGTTTGGTAATGAAAACTAATCTAAGACATAAAAGTTGTAAACAACATACATCATTCGAAATATGTGTTTCTTTTTTTTTTTTCTTTTTTCCCCTAATAGATATTCCAGCAGAAAAGAAAAAATTTTTTGATCAATAACATAACTAAAATTCAATCTTGAAGAGATGATCTGATATGGCTTGAAAAGCTCTATTCGTAGCTATGTTTGATTTGAACTTTGAAATAGATAGTAATGTAAATTCATTAACCAAAAATATCTAAAAAAAACCAAGTTACAAAGATCTTTTGACCATTGCTTCATATGGAAATTTTATTATAAATAAAAATATGTACTTTTCTATATGAATTACTACTTATTTAATAAGTTTAGTTCTTTGTAAGATTATCCGAAGTTGATATTTTTTTTGCTTTCAAATAATTCTTGTACTAAAATAGTCTAATAATCTCTATTTTTTCCTTTTGATAATAATATAACTTCTTTCATGTTCTTTTTTTCCTGCTGTTTTCCTCACTATGCAATCACATGATGTGCATTACTGCAATTATAATTTTATACAATAGGTTTCTTTTATCTTCTAAAGAAAAAACCACTACTTTTAATTAATGCTACCTGGATAAATTTTAGATAATTTTACTTCTCTAGGAGAATATTTTATTATAAATTCTTATATGAATTAGTCTTAATTGAATATATTTCAAATAATTAATCTGAATTGGAATTCTTCGTTTATTTTGATTAACTATTGTTGTTGTATTTCTGAATGAGGATCAGTTCTATTCAATTTAATTGTTTGTGTTAATGTTCTTAATTGAAGATTTGCATGTATTCCTTCATGTCTTGATCTACAAATAAATTTTTTCATTATTTTATATAATTCTTGACGAAACATTTTTCCACTTAATGTTAATAAATAAAATGTACATGAATGATTGAAAAATGATATTGTTCGAACAACTACAATAAAAACATTGTCAGCTGCTTTGGTTAAATCATCTTTTGGAACATTAAGTGTTAATGTTGAATATAATTTTTGTACAGCATGTGGTACAGCTGTAATTGATGCAAGACTAACTTGTAAAAGAAGCATTAACATAAGTGTATGATCTTGA